AATGCAGAGGAAGATGACGCGGGAAAAGGTGGGGACGTGTAAACCAGAAAAGTCTAGAATCTCTGAGTCCGTGACACTCCCTGGGAAGACGTCCCCTCCAGGCCCTTTCACTCCCCGCTGCACTCAGACTGCACTGCCTGCCGCCCTCCGTGGGGTGTTTGGACCCAACCCCGTCCCCTTAATGAAAGTCAGAGGCAAGGGTCTCACCCGCGGGCCTGGCCCTAGGCGGCAGCACCGTCCCATCTTCTCGTTGTGTACCCCAGGAAGGAGACTTCGCTGCGCAACAAGATGTCATCTCGTAGAACTGTTCTCGTCCTGGGCTGCCCTGCCTCGGGCGTTTCAAGAGATTGAGTGGCTTTAACCAAGGGCTGGGTGCAGCTCAGGCGCCAAAGTCACTTGCGACTGACGTAAGGACAGAACTGTGCAAACCTCCCGGCTTGATGTGATTGCAAATCCCTCAGAGCAGGGACTGCAGGGGAGAGCAGCACGGGCTTCCGGTGCCCCCACTGTCCTCAAAACCCCAGTTCTCCCTTCAAGACTCAGCCCCCATCCCTTCTCCTCCAGGAAGCCTTCCAGGATCTCACCATCCGTCCTCCCACCTGCCCCTTCGTTCAGTAACCGCTCGCTGGGCACCCACTGAGCCAAGGGGGAGGTGTGGGGCTGCAAACACGCGTGCCGTGGCCCTGCCTTGGAGGAGCTCACAGTCCAAGGAGAAGCAAACGTCTGAAGTTAGAGAATCCACGCTGTTAAAACAGACATCACAAGACTGACGGGACAGACTCTCCAGTGGAAGAACAAGCCCATCAAGATTGGATAAACTTTAATATTCAAGCCTCACACTAGAACAGAACTTACACTCTTAGCTACGCATGTCCAGAGATTTCGAGAGGGGCATTTCCTTCTGCCAGGAAGTCAGCAAGGTGGGCAAGGTAGTCATGATCATATCCCTTTTTACAGATGGGGAAATTGAGGCTTGGAGAATTTGAACAACTTGCCCCAGATCACCAGGCCCACGGGTGACAATGCTGGGATGTGAGCCCAGGGCTTCAGACTCCAGGCCTGTAGCTCTTGCCAGGATGTGGTGCGGCCTCTCTCTGGAGCCTTCCGCCAGGTCATGCGAGTGGAGCACAGGCCCCCACCTTGGCCAGCGAGGCCAGCATTTAGGAATCTCAGCTCCCGGCTCTATTCCCTCATTCCCAGGACACCCCGCGCCCTTCCTGCTCTCTTCTCCTTTCTCCCCCACCCCTTAACCTGCAAGGTCCCGTGGGAACCGCAGGCCTCCCGCACCTCCATCAACAACAGGCCTCATCTATCCCCAGGGACCAGACCTGCGTGAATCCCGGTCGCCTGGGTTTCTCACTAAAGTGCAGATTCCGGCCCAGCAGGTCTTGGGTGGGCCTGGGATTGTGCACTCCTCACAAGGTAGGCCGATGCTGCCGGTCCAAGGAGCACGATTCGGGTAGCAAGGCTGTGGGACTGCTCTAAACACCACCTGCCTGGGCAGCAGCTCTCTCAGCCGTTCTGCTTCTCCATCTCGCTCCTGAGTCGCAGCTGGTCAGCTTTTGTCTCCACAAAGAAAGGGCTCCCCTTCCTTTCACAGGTAGCACAGGCAGCTGGCGGGAGCCCTGTCTTGCAGAGCACCCTGGGACCCCTCCCCATCCATAAGGGGTCCTGGGGGCTGCAGCTGCCCTGCAAGGGGTTGAGAAGCCTTTGCCCATTGCCTGTCCCTCCTGTCCTTGGCCTGCAGCCTCCCCAGACTGGCCTCCAGGGACGGTCCCCGGGAACTGCGGATGGGGGGTTGCCTCTCTTCTCCTGCAGCCCTCATCGAAATTTTGCCCTTGCCCAAGAATCCTCGGTTGAGAGCTCATCCCTATTAATTCTCATTGTGCATTTAGAGCCAATAGGTTTTTATTTATTCATTTGTCTTGCCTTTCATCCTCCTCCCCTTCCTCGCCAGGCTGGAATTTACAATTCAGTTCTCAGGCGGCCTTGCTGAAGGACAGGAAGCCTGGGAGAGAGGGGCCTGCCCCTCAGCCCCTCTCGTACCCTAGGAGAACTGCAGGGCTCATATTGTGGTTGGCGCTGCTCCCTCCCAGCCGCTGCTGCAGGAGGGACACAAGGGAGCAGGGACCCACTGGACACTGCATGACTGGGGGGCAGCGGGCCCTTCTGGCCGCCATTGGGGCGCCCCCTGGTGGCTGGTCAGCACCACCTGCTGTGGCTGGAGGATTGGCACTCCCAGAGCACCCTCCACCTGCTGCCCGCACACTCGAAACACAAGGCGTGGCGTCCTCAAGGCTGGAGAGAGGCAAAGAACTCCGGGGAAGAAGAGAAGCCAGGGAGTAATAACAACGGTCACAAGCCGATCCCTGCACGCTGAGTACCTACTACACGCCAGCGTGTACCCAGGGCACGCACGGCTGGGCTGCACCATCCCACCAGCACCATGACACTCCCACGGTATTTTCTCTGCTTGACAGAGGAAGACACTGAGGCTCGGGAGGTCAGTAGCTGAGAGAGGGGAGGCCTGGCCGCCTGGTGGAAAAGCACAAGCCCTGGCCACAGACGAGTTCCTCGCCTGCCTTTAAACTGGGTGACCTTGGCAGGATTTAGGCAACCCTTCCTAATCCCTACAATGGGATTAGAATAGGACCCACCTCAGAGCACCCTAGAGGTGATTAAATGAGACACACCTAGGACACGCCCAGGGCAAGTCACAATAAATGGTGGCATCAGGGTTGGAATCCAGATCTTTCTGGAAGTGATCCCCCACGCAAAAGCCAGCCCCCCAAAAGGCTGCCCTCCGCCTGCCGAGGCAGTGTCCCCACCCTCACCGGCCGCACATTTGTAATCAAAGGCAGAGGCTGGTGGCAGCCTGTGATGAAATATTTAAGTCCATCAAACAGGTGGCGAGACGCTGAGGACTCACCCGTGTGGGAGATCTCGGAGACGCTATCCTCCCTCCTCTGCCCTCTGCGCCTGTCCTCCCAGGAGAGGAGCGGGGATGGGGTGGGGAACAGAGCTCCTTCCAGACCCCAGGGCTCAAGGACAGCCACCTGGGCTCAGGCTCACCGGCATCAGGACTGGGAGGGGCGACCACCTCCCCCAGCAGCTGCCAGGTGCGCTGGGTTCTCCGTATGCGGGTGGGGGCAGGGCAGAGGTCCAGGGCCAAGGACATCCTGAACCAGCCTTGGCCAGGAGAGGGCCTCGGACTTACATGTGATGGTCATCTCCATCCCTCAAGCCCTTGACCTGAGCTGGTCCTATGAATTATGATTTAACTGCTCCCGCCAGCACATTAAGGCAATGATGAATATTTAAGGAAAAAAAAATGCCGTCGGGACTATAATGTGAGACGCAGAGGTTGACTCCGCCCAGGGGGTGTGTAGAAAAGCCCTCCCGAGAGCTGAGGTGCAGACTCAGCACTGTCCCCCACCCCCTGCCTTACCCCTGACTTTCAGGGACCAGCCCCCTGGCCTCCACCCGAGCCGGTCCCCAGCGCAGGGGGGCCCCCGAGACGACACAGTCCCAGCTGCTGGCTCCATGCTGCCTCCTCCTCCCCTCCCCAGCAGGCCCAGCGCAGTCACCACCCTCAGTGACGGCCCTGTCACCACTGACAGTGGGAACCTACCCTCTCAGGCTGACTGCTCTGTGATGTGACAGAAGCTGCCCCATGGGATCGGGCCCTCAGGAGCCCGGGGAGCGGATGCCAGGCCAGTCCCACCATAAACCCAGGACCTGGAGGCTCCCCAGGGACACTCAGACGCACTAGCTGCCCCAAGGATGACCCTGAGTTCCTCCTGTCCACTCCCAAAGCCCAGCTGCCCCACTGCCCCGCTCTGCCTGGCCCTGCCAGGGACAGGCCACCAAATGCCACAGCGGGAAGGCGCCGCTCGAGAGGCAGTTTCACTCAGTGACTCTGGAGCCAGACACTGTACACTTGAATCACAGTTTCACCACTTCCTGGTGTATGACCTTGGCCAAAGGCCTTCACCCCGCTGCCTCAGTTTCCCCATCTATATGACGAGAATGACAACAGCTAACATGGACAGGGCACATGCTCTGTGCCAGATCCTAGTTTGAACACTTCACCTGTATTAACTAAACCACTAACTCCTTCCAACGAGTGTGTGCTATCAGAGTGCCCATTTTACAGATGACCACGGAAACTCGGTACGTCGCTGGTCCAGAGCCCACACCTTAGCACTCCTCCTTTCCACAGCACAGACTCACGGGACGACACACAGCACACTCACACAGTGATGGCGGCTATTATTTTGTTCTTGCTAACATTACTTGAGTACTGAAATACTCTGTGGCTCTAGGACCCCTCCTTCTCTAACCAGGGACTCAAATGACAATGCCTGACATCTTTCTTTCCCCGCCTTAGCCTGTGCCTGTGGCCTGGCATGTAGCAATGGAACTGGAGAGGTCTGGCTGCACGGTCTACGCCAGCCTGACCCCCACCTCCCTCTTTCATGAACCCCCTCTGAGCTGCCATCAAACCTGCCTCTATAAAGTGCCAGCTCAGGGCTTGGCACCCTCTGGTCTCACAACACAGCCTGCCCGATTGCACTGGGGGGACTAGGAGGCTGCATGGCAGTAGCAATGAACAGAGAGAGGTCGGAGTGCACTGCTGCAGACAGCATCTCGCCCGCTCGCCCAGAATCCGGGCTTCCTACAGGGGGCGGGGCTCACCCTCAAGGCTGGGGAGCTGAATACTATGGCCTTCCTCAGAGGAAACGATCTAGTGGTCAGCTGGCCAAGATGCCCCCACCCCAGAGAACAATGTCACATGACCCCAGAGTCCTCTGGGTGGCCTTTGCCCTGACACACTTCCAAGACCTGGTCCCAATTCCAAGATGCAGGGAGGTCAGCCTTGCATCTTGGCCCTCCCGCTCTGCTTACCCAGCCCAGGGATCCATTGCAGACCACATCCCCCCGCCTCCCTGCTGCCCCAGCCTGGCCTGAGCAGATGGAACAGCAGTGGGCAGACTTACATGGGAGCAGAACCTCTCCGGGGGGTCCCCGCATGTGATGCCCGAGGGCTCCACCTTCACCTTGACGAAGTCCTTCAGACGCATCACCTTGGGCTGGCAGGCGTAGAACTCCCAGGTGGGGCCCTCATCCGTGGTCACCCAGGATTTGCAGATGTCGTAGTCCCCAGAGGCCAGCGGGAGGCAGTGCAGGAAGAGAGCCAGCAGGTGCAGCATGGCTGCGCAGGCCGCGGGGCCGCAGCCCAGAGAGGCCCTGGAGAGGCAGCGACGGGGTCAGGAGGGACTCTCGGCCTCAGCATGGAAAGGCCTCATCTACCAGACGATGGTGGCTGGGATGTCCCAGGATCTCAAGCACTGCAGGTTTGCAAACAGCAAGGAACTTGTTTTTCCGAAAGGCCGATACAGAAAATTCAGAGCCAGCGTTTCTCAGACTGCTGATGGCCGGGTCAAAAAGTTGCCCATAACTTTGCGTCCTCCTAACCTTGGCATCACACCTCCCCCAGAGGTGAATCTGATCAAATCAGGCAGATTCTCAAATTGTGACAGTGGGTGGAAATGGAGTAAGGAGAAAATCCGCAGGGACCCAGCATGAGGCCGGGTCAGATTGCCTTTAATTTTTGTCCTTCCAATCAATCCAGGTCTTTAAAGGGCCCTTAGCATGTGGTGCGCTCAACACGACTGAAAACAACCCTCCAGCCTGTGCTGTAAAGATAAAATAGCATCAGGAGGTGCACATGTTAGCCGGAAACATGTTCCCTCTCTGGGACTGGACTTGGTATCTCAGACCAATAAAAGAGATTTCTTTTCATATGGCCTTAAAGTGACAACAATCGTACAACTGGACTGGAAAATAAAGCTACTGAGGTGTTAGCTGTGGAGAAGGCCGTTCGGTCTGCGCCGGTGGGCACCGGTACTAATGGGGGCCAGCTGACCCTGGCGGGTAGCCATTGGCAACTTATTATGAAGTTCCAGAGCTTTCAGCTCTCAATCGGTCCAGGTACCTGGGGCTGGTTTGTCTTTCATTGCAAGAGGGGAGGAGAGAGAGCTCATTAGCAACAACACCTGCAACAAATTACAAAGGGGGGAGAATAGAGACGGATAAGAACAAAAGATCTCCAGCAAAATGTGCAAAAAAATGAGGCTGCATTAGCAAGGTCTCCCGAGGAAACTGGGTTATTTTTATTACTATCAGAGTTGCACATTTGGAGATTGGGCATGTTATTTAAAAGGCGATGCGTTTTCTCTCATTTATAGGAGTGTAGTTCAGCACAAGTGCCCCTGCTTGGGGGTCAGAGACTTTCTAAAGCATCCCCAGGAGCCAAGATTTAATGGTTGCTTTAAAATACCATGACTGACAAGTCAAAATGTCAAAGCTGTTAAAGGCGGAGATGAGACTGTGACTACAGGTGCACATGGACAGAGGGACCCACGTGCAGGCCAACAGCTAAGAACCAGGCACCAGTAACTATCTCCCCAACCACAGGCACCATCTGAACTGGCCAATTTAATCTTTTTCACTGTCAGAAACTAGAGATATTGAAGACTTCCACAGAAGTAACACTGTTTTGTTATATTAGATTTTCTGATCAAGGCCAACATTTTTCTATCATCGTGAGAGGGTATGTTTATAAATGGATCTTTTAATAAACTTTTTTATAAAAAAGCATTATTATGATTATTGTTTAACTATGTTTAAGCCTCTTGTAAGTATTTAAAAGCCAAAATAGGTATAACTAATATGAATGCTACATTGGGAAATAAATGACACACTCACTAACGTGCTGTGTCCCCAGACACTTGATACGTCACCAGAACTTGAGTCCAGCCGGCGTGGGATTCTGGCCAAAACTCCTGGCAAATGGGACATAGGTTACCACAACGAGTTATGGTGTAAGTGCCTACATGGTTATTCTGGTTATTATGCCCATGATTACTGCATTTAAATTCCCAAACTGCCCAGACCTTGGTGCCAAATCTCAGCCGACTCTCACCCGCCATGCTCTTCAGCCACTGTACATGAAAGGTCCCTGAAGAGTTAACTGTGTTTCCATGAAACCCCATTCTCCACCCAGGCATGCACCACACACACACACACACACACACACACGCACACACACACACACACACAACCTTCTGCCAAAAGCGACAAACCTGAGGGGCAGGCACTTGCTGCCCTCAGCACCTCAGGCTGCAGACAAGTCCCCAGCCAGGACCCCACGGCTTCAGGCCCAGGTCTCATCCATCTGCATTAACGCCACCCTGTCCCTCTCTGGAAGAAGAGCTCTCAATGGAGATGAATGAGAGCCCAGCCAGGACCACATTTTGACGTCTCACCTCTGGCTGTTTAAAGAGAAACCTGTTATAGAGCCTGCCCGGCCTTGAATGCGCTCCTTGCTAGAAAACTCTCAGAAAGAACACGCCGGGCGTCTATTTTTACAACCTGAGAAAATGTAGTAAAAATAAAATAGCGCGGCCGGCAAAGGTTTAGATGCCTCTATCCAAGCTCCGCTGCCCAGAAAACAGCACGTCCCTAATTAATTCCTCCAGCAGCCGACTCCCAACTGTTCTCTAACAGGTAGGGAGCTCCTGGCTGCTGGGACAACCAGGACACCGGGCTGTGGCTGGCGAGCAGGGCTCAGCTGCAGGCGTCCTCCAACTGCAGGACCAGCCGCTGCTCTGGGCTTGGAGGGCGCTGCACGCGGGCTGGGGCGGGGAGTCAGCACGGAGGCAGCGAGGCTGGAGGCCAGGAGGCGCAACTTACAAATCTATTGCTTTGCAGTTCTGTTGGCTTAAATGCCACGCATTCCCTGGAAAATGGGGAAAAAAAAAAAAAAGCCAACGACAACAAAATCTGCCAGGGGAAAAATGTGTTTACAACCAGTCAATCAATTGGGCGTTGCTGGCATCGTAGTGGGAATTGTGAGCTCAGCACACGGATATTACAGTCGGTTTTTGCCAAAAAGAAAAAAGAGGAGTGGGGCGAGATGCAAGAGTCCCCGGAATAACGGGGAGGATGGCAGAGCGAGAAGGCGGCAGGGAAATTTCAGAGTAAGAGGTTGTATCCCGGCGGATCGTTTCCTCCGTGGAAAATATATCTTCACCTGATATTATTAAGAAACTGCAGCTCCCAGAAACAAATAGAATCAATGCCGTTTATTTTCTTTTAAGAGTCCTCAGGAACCGAGGGGGCTGATAGCCAGGGTATTAAAACCCGAAAATTAGATTTTATCAGGATTTCTGAACTCAGATTTCTCTGTCTTATTGAATTAGCGCCTCCGGGGGCTGGCTGTGCTCGCCAGCAGGCTCCGCTCCGAGTTGCCGCTGCGCCCTCGCCCGTGGGACACTTGCCCCGGCGGCGGGCGCGGGCCCCGGCCCGGAGGGAGGGCGCGGGCTTCCCGGGCCCCGCCCCGAGCTCCCCTCCCAGCCCGGGGGCGGAGAGGGGTGAACTCTGTCTTTGGGGGGTGGTGCCGGGGGCGAGGAGGAAAAAGGGGAGCTCGGTCCGGCCGGGGTCACCTTCCCGTCCTCCGCCCCGGGCGGGGTCCAGTGGGTGCCGGGCGCTCACGCCGGCTCGGCGGGCGTCCGGGTGCCCGCGGCCGCGTGCCCCTCCCCCTCCGGAACAGGCGCTTTCTCGGGCCCCCGGTTCCCCCTACCCCCGCGCCCTCTCCGCGGCCGGGGAGCCCGGGAAAGTTGGGCGCGGGGTGCGGGGTGGCCGGGCCGCGCGGGTGGGTCCCAGCGGGCCGGCGGGCGGGCGGGGTCAGCCCCGCACCGCGACGCCTCGGGGTCGGTGTGGAGTCCGCGCTCCGGGCCGGCTGCAAACCGAGTGCGTTGCAGACACCAGCCGAGCAAACCCGGGGCTGCTTTTTGTCTTTGCAAAGTTGCGTGCAAGCCACGGGAGCGATTAATAATTATGTCTTTAATAAAGGCCTGGCTGGCACTGAGGTGCCCCCTCATTCGGCACCGCCTCCCTTAATTAAAAGTCACCAGCAAAGCGCCAGGGAATCGGTTGCATCGTTTTCCTCCGCTCTGCCCCCAGCAGCGACCCCGCCGCCGCCGCCCCCCGCCCAGACAGACAACTCACTCCGGAGCCGGAGGACCCCGCGAGCCCGCGGCCCTCTTCCCGCCGTCCCGCCGCCTTCGCTCCCCCAACCCGCGCGCCACCCAAGGCGGGGTCGAGGTTCAACTCCACACGGTCCCCCGGCCGGCCCCGGGGCCCCTCACCCCCTACCTACCGACCCTTCCACGCACTGAAAGAAGTTTCCAGCCGTAGCTGGCCGGGAGTTTGTGCAACTCACATTTCCCAGTTTGCAGAGATGGGAGGGCTCGGCATGGGGGTGGCTCTGCAAGGTGGCGATGGAATTGGGGTGGGGGAGTTGCGCGAAAGCAGGGTTAGCTTCCTTCTCATGAACACGTCAAGTCTTCTTGCAACATCCATCCCCGCCGACACACACAGGCACACACGACAGAAGACGACCCGGGGAGAGCCAGCCGGAAAGGCAAGCTACTCCTTTAAGATGCTGCTACAAACGCACTCACACACCCCTCTCGGGCGACTCCAGCCCTCCGCTAGTAGCAGCCGCTACCGAATAACTTTTGCATCCGAGCCTTTGCGGGGCTGCCCTAAGTGGCTCTGGGCCCCGGGAGAGCCTGCATGGTCACCGAAGCCCGTTAAAAATGAAACCAGGCTGGCGAAGCCGCAGCATCCCCCCGCTCGCCGCCCGGGCTCTCCGCGCCCGCCTTACCCGGCTCGGAGCAGCCTCCCGGAGCGGGGACCGCGAGGCCGAGGACCGCCACCCTCCGGCCGGCTCTGGGCGGGGGCGAGGGCCGAGGGCTGCGAGCCGCCGCTCCGTCCCCGCGCTGCGCCCGCCGCCGCCGCCGCTGTGGCCGCCGCCGCCGTCAGAGTGGGGCTGGGGAGCCCTCCGGCCGCCGGGGGGGCCGCCCGCAGCCGTCCCGGAGACGCGGGCCGGGGGAGGGGGCCGCCCGCGCCGCCCGCATCGCCCGCCCGGGCCGAGCCGGAGGTCGCCGCTAACAAGTGCAAACTTTTTGGCCCCCCTGGGCGGCTCCGGGAGGACCCGTGCGCGGGCGCAGGGCGGCCCCCGGCCCGGGTGGGCTTCGCGGCCGCTCGTCGGGGAGCCGGGGCATCCCCCCGGCTCGGCGCGGGCCAGATGGCGGGCGCGTCACTGCCCCCCTGCACTCCGCTCCAAGTTAATGCCGAGGCTAAATCCTCTTGCCATCA